AAAGAGGGCTCAGTTTGGTGCTGCTTTGTGTTTCTCGTCTGCTCCAGCGAGTGATGAGAAACACGGCCGCCTGCTGGAGCGGGCACTTTCCACCCGCTTTTGATGTCGGGGAGAATACGGAGAACACAGTGGGAACTGTAGGAACCTACACCATGGGCCGCGATTGGCCCCGTGCAGGCGGCTGCGGCCCTCCACGTGGTAAAGCACCCACAGCCCCCCCGGCCTGCTGGAAACCCGCTTCATTAAAAACACCACCCTGCTGATAACCCTTCTGCCGGCTAATTAACCTGTTCAGTTGTTTCCCTGACATCACCCAAAATGCCGCTGCTCCACGCTTGGGTTTGAGATGTGCAGCAGGAGGAAGCCGCCCGGTCCCTTCCTCCATCTGGGATGCTGAGCATCGAAATGGGGGTGCTGAGCATTGAAATGGGGGTGCTGAGCATTGAAATGGGGGTGCTGAGCAACAAAACGGGGATGCTGAGCACCAAAATGGGGATGCTGAGCGATAAAATGGGGATGCTGAGCACCAAAATGGGAGTACTGAGCATCGAAACGGGTGGAAGGGTGTCAGAGAAGCCCTGCGTTGGCTGTAGCCCAAATGGCCCCCGGCAGCCGAGGGTGGGGGGGGAGGGAAGGGGGGGAGGAGAAGGGTTTGGGAATGGGGCAAACAGAAAATCCCAACCCGATTCACCGAGCAAACTTCCCAGGCGCAGCCTTTGTCCGCCCGCCTTTCAGCGTGCGCATGGCAACGGCGCTCGCCCTAAGCCATTTCCTCCGGGCAGAGCCAAGAGAGAGGCGATGACAGAGGCACAGCCACCCCACGCTCCTCCGTGTCCCTGCGCCGGTCCCCATCCCAGCCTGGCCTCTCCGGGAGTCACTGCTACGGGCATTTGGGCTCATCCTGTGCTCCCAAGCGATGCCGCCGTACCCACACCGCCGGAGCGGAGGAGGACACGTATGGCGTGGATGCTGCGGTGACGGTGGCACAAGGAATAGTCTGAGCAAAAGGTTTTTGACCCCACTGCCCGTCCTGGCAGCTCAGGCCAGGCACGTCCCCAATCTCTCCCACTCCTCACCCAAACTTTCAGCATTTCCCCACGTGAACATCTCTTTGGGGCCTGAAGCGGCGGGACAGAGCTGGCACCGGGCTCTCTTGTGGCTATTGGAAACGTAACAGCGCTTCTAACACACATCACGTACGGCTTAAGCAAGGTGCCTCCCTGCCTTCGGACACCCTAGGAAATTCTAGCAATTAATTTCAACCCCCATCTCACCGTCCCAGTAAGGGAGCTGCATTTTGAGGGCTTTTCCATGCGTGGCCAGGGGGTCTCCAGGAGGACGTCGGGTGGGTATTTCCCTCCAGCCACCCTCTGACCTCTGGCAGGATGCCGGAGCTGCCCGCGAACGAGCTCACATTAACACTTTGGGCAGTAAACGGGGCTGAAACACCCCAAACCCAACCAGGGATTTTCCTCCAGAGCGGGGATGACGCAGCTCTGCTGCTGTGGGGACTGGGGAGGCCACGGCTTTCCAGGAAAGCTGAACTGAGCATTCCCGTGCCAGGATGGAACCCCTGGTCCCACTCCCACCGTGCAGAGCAGGTCCCCGGCACAGGGACATCGGCTCCGGAGCCTCTCAAAACACGGCCAGCATCACATCCCTGAAACGCGCACCTCCATCCCGGCACCTCCCTCGCTGGGCTCTCGGCCCCGAGGTGGGAGACGGGTTTTTAGGGTGGACTGGGGGGGCTGTGGGAAGGTTTCCAAGCAGAGAAAGCGGGGGGGCAGCACGCACGGATGTGCTGCTCTCTCTGAGCAAGGACCGACTCTCCGATGACCACCCGAAATCAATGGAAAACATCCCTGGAATTTGGGTTGGACCCTAAACGGAAACGCCAAGCTACGCGAAACATATAGAGTCCCCGAGCAGCCTGTCCTCCCCTGCCCTCCCGCTCCTCAAAGGGCTTTTCCTCCGGGATGGGGCGGCCGAGCATCCTACCCACCCACCCAGCACCCACGCTGGCGGGCGG